CTTTAGTCATACTGTAGCTAAAAAGACCATCAGGAAAGGACTTGGTAACTAGTAGGCCAAAAATAAAAAACATTGAAGAGGTGGGGAGTAGGAGTTACAAAAACCTCTTTATCCCTAATTCACCATGATCTCTACCATCAACATTTGCTTCCTCTACGTCAGGAAAGCCCCAGTGATGTAAGAATTAGTATAAGAATTCATATATAAGAATTGCCTTCTTGTTTTATGGGCAACTTCAACTGGCAAACATAACACAGGAAAAGATGAACTTATGAATACTTTAAAGTTTATTTATTTGAGAGGTAGAAACAAAGCACTTTCATCCACTGGCTTAGTCTTTAATGCCTGTGATGGGTGGAACTGGGCCAGGCAGAATTCAGGAGCACGGAGCTCAGTCTACCAGATGGATGGTTGGAACCCAATTGTATACGTCGCCTTTGGAATCAGGAGTTGGACGTAGGATTTTTCTTAAAGTAATCAATTTATTTACAATGTAGAATTACAGAGAAACACAGGGAGATCTCCCTCCCATTGGCTTACTTCCCAAATGGTCAAAACGAAGCCAGGAGCCAAAAGCTTAAACACTTGTGCTGGCTTTCTGTTGCTTTTCTAGGAACATTACAAGGAGCTGGGTGGAACTGGAGCACCTGAGTCTCAAAACAGTGCCGATATGGGTGTTGGCATTGCAGGCTTCCGCTTAACCCAATAGCCACAACATGGAACCTGGAGGTAGATATTGAACACAGGCACTCTGAAATATATTCTGGGCATCTTAGCCTGGTATCTTAACCGGCAGGTCAAATGCCTGTTCCTTCGACACCTTTCATGAGGGTGAATATACATTACTTTTATCCTTTAGATTATGCATGGGATGCAACTTGAAAAATTACAATGGGGAGCATTTTTCTTTTTCTCATTCTAATAAGAAATACAGCTAAATGGGAAGAATGTTATATATTCACATGCCATACCTATCACCTAGATTCTACCATTAAGACTTCGTTGTATCTACCAAGCTTGTTTTTTAATCAATCAAATTACTTGAAAAGAAGATAGATACAGAGAAACACTGAGATTGTCCCACTACTGGTTCGCTTCTCAAATAGCCAGGGCTGAGCCAAGGCAGGACAAGGATCACTGAACGCAGGCCACGTCTCCCACATGGGTGGCAGAGACCCAAGGACCTGAGCTGCCACCTGCTTTCTCCCAGGGTCACATCAGCAGGAATCTGGACTAGAAGATGAGCCAGGACTCAAACCAGGCACTCTGACATGGGACGCAGGTATTCCAAGTAACATCCTAACTACTATGGCACATGCTCATCATGGGCTTCATTTTCAGTTAAGCATTTTATTTTGACATAACTGTAGATTCACATGCAGATGGGTGAAATAGCAGAGATCTGTGCTGTTTAGTCCAGTTCACTCAGTGATAACATCTTGCAAAACTACAGTACACTGTCACAAACTGCTAACATTGGCACAATCATGATCCAGAACATTCCCATTACCACTACGATCCACCAGGTTGCCACATTTACTTCTCCCTCACCCTAATCCCCTCCATAAACCCTGACAACTGCTAATCTGCTTTTCATTTCCATAGCTTTACTATTCCAAGAATGCTATATAAGTGGAATTATACAGCCCCTGGTACAAATGGCTCAATGGCTAAATCCTTACCTTGCAAGTGCCAGGATCCCATATGGGTGTTGGTTCATGTCCTGACTGCTCCACTTCCCATCTATCTCCCTGCTGATGGCCTGGGAAAGAAGTAGAGAATGTCCCAAAGTCTTGGGACCCTACACCCACATGGGAGTCCCAGAAGAAGCTCTGTCTCCTGGCTTTAAATTCCAAATGGCTATAGCAGCACAGGTGGGGCTAGGTGGAAGCCAGGAGCCAGAAACTTCATCCAGATGTGCCACATGGGTGGCAGGACCTCAGGTGCTTGAATCATTATCCGCTGCTGCTGCAAATATGATTAATTAAGGGTCTCAAGATGAAATGACACTGGATTTGGTTAGAGTGGTCCTTTCCTCCACTGATCAGCATCAATATAAAGGAAAGGAGATTTGCAAACACACAGACAGGCAAACAGATAGCAAGGCAATGCGAAGATGGGGTTGGCTGCACCTACGAAGAAGGGAACACTGTGTGTTGCTGACAACGATCTGAGGCCAGTAAGGTGGCAGGCAGCAGTTCTTCCCACAGTACTTCTAGAAGAGATCCTGCTGAGGTCCTGGTTTTGGGCTGTTGGTCTCTAGAACTGTGGCAGAATACATTTCGTACACATTTTTTGTTGTTGTTTGTTGTCGGGAAGTTTTAAAATTTCCCTCTGGAGGTTCCACTTTTTAGTCTATAACATGACTGGCAATAGACAGATTACCAGGTAAAAAAATGTGCTAAGGTTTTAGGTGAAAGAAACACAAGATCCACACAAAGTATGAGGCTGGAAGAGGGATCCAATGGTTTGAAGTGTAAATAACTTTTTGAATGACAGAAAGAATTAGTTTGCTGGAGGAGAGAGGTGGAGACTCAAGTTACAAAAGGATGGAAGGGAAATGCATTGAGAGATTTCCCTATTATGAAGCAAATATTCCCAGGAAATTATCATCGGAAGGTCACCTTTGGGAATCTCTGTGTGGGCTGAGTGTTAGACCCCCAATCTCTTTCCTACGAAAATATTTTCTACTTTCTGGTTCTTTCCTGAGACACCTGTCATAGATGGAATGGGCCACAGCAAAACTTAGAGCCTAGGGCTCAGGCTTGGTCCTTCACATGGTTGGCAGGGATCTAACTACTTGACCTGCTGTTGCTCAGGATGCAAATTAGCAGGAAGCTGAAATTGGAAGCAGAAGCGGGAGCTAAACTCAGCACCCATGATAAGTGACGCAAGTGCTACAGCAACAGCTTAACGAAGCGCTGCTCCAATCGCCTTCCCCTGAGTTGGGCTTTTTAGCTGAGCTAGGTAATTCCAAATGAAGGCTAGTTTTACTTAAACAGTTCTAACAAATCGCCAGTGTTATTAGTAATGGCAGCTGAATGTCGGTTCTGATTCTTTTCCAATTAACATTGATTAGCATCAGCTTAGTTAGTCAATATTTATTTCCTGAATCAAAACACTCTTTGTGAGTTTGCCTGGGAGAAGAGGGCAAGACTGAATCAACACTGGGTCTCTTGAAACCTGTCAGGTATTTGCACTAGCAGACATTACTAGAGTTCCAGAATCTTAGCTTTGTGGAGCTGTTCACTTAGTAATACTAGTGTCCATGGTCCTCACAAAAAGGAGGTTTGGACAAAAGACTTTAACAGAATAATCACACTGAAAGTATGTGAAAGCTACATAAGCAGTTGCTAGATTTTGGAGACTTAACATTTCAGGCTCATCTTACATTTAGATTTTTTGGCCCGTGGGCTTGCTTCGGTTCTAGGTTTCAAAGCAGATTCCAATGGTTTATCTTTTCTCTCCAATGGTATTACACTCCACTCAAGATTGTGTGCTTTTGGCTTCTTGAGAGATTAAGGTCGAATATTAAATAGTGTCTTTAGGCATTGTGACTCCCTTTCTGAGAGGTTTCATTTTGATGTGTGTCCTAATTTAAAACCATATTTATAGTTAAAGTATCGAGTGACATGATGATCTGTAAGGTCAACTGTGTACACGTGGAGAGGAGGGTTTGGAAGCCAGGACGAGCGAGCAGGAGGCATCACACGTCTCAAGGCGGAAAGCCCTTCCAGTGCAATGGGAGCACAGCATCTTTACAAGAAGTTTATACAAAACAGCATCTAGGATTTGGAAAAAGCCAACTGAAAACTTTGGAAACAATCTCATATTTGGGGGAATCCATCTTGAAGAACAGCACTATGTGAGGACTCAAACTGATACTCTGAGAAGGGAGGCCCCTGTTGTTAGTCATACATTCATGCACAGCTCCACAGTACTGGGGGAAACGACTGATTTGTTTTAAGATTGATCTACTTTCATTGGAAAGGCAGATTTACAGAGAGAAGGAGAGACAGACAGAAAGATCTCCCCAAATGTCTGCAACAGCAGGAGCTGAGCCCATCTGAAGTCAAGAGCCAGGAGTTTCTTCTGGGTCACTCACATGTGTGCAGAGTCCCAGGGCTGCGAGCCATCTTCCTACTGCTTTCCCAGACAATAAGCTGGATGGGAGGTGGAGGGGCCAGGATAAGAACTGGTATACATATGGGATGCCAGCACTTGGAGTTAGATTAGTCAACTGAACCATCATGCCCGACCCTATTGATTATTATTATTATTTTTTAAATCTCTATAAGAGAAAGAAGGAGTTGCTTCTTCCTCCCCCTCACTTACAAGTAAGAGCATAGTTTATACTTAAACAGATCAGTTCTCTTACCTGCACTAGCATGGACCTGTCTCTATGGTTGTACCCAGGAGAGTTCATTACCATTTTGAAACACGGGCCCACGTTCCTTGCCAATGGGAACTCTTCCAGGACGGGGTTTTCACCTTGTTTGGATCACACTGCAAATCCAAGAGTTGAATGACTTTCTGCGTCATTAATCACAAGACACGCGGGCAAAGTAAACGTTTCTCTGCGGTTCCTTTGCTTTTAAAAAGTGCAGCCCTGTTTTGCTTTATGCCTTTCCGTTTTATGATCCTTTTACTTGTCTTCAACACCTCAACTAAAGTGAACACGAGCGACTTTACACTGAATTTGTAAGATGACTCATCTCTGGGTTGGTGAAGCATTTTGTACACAGTGCATGATTCCTTCCTGCCCTTTATGTCAGAATACACCTGCCTAGCGCTAAGAACGACGTGAAAAGAACAGCTAGGTCTTAATCGGTTTGCATGGGCCACTTCAGGAAAAGTAAGATTCCTTGCAGCTGCAGGAGTTCCGTCTGAACTCGGGCCTCCTCCTTGCTAGCTACAAGGTTGGAGACAAGTACGAAGTTGCGTGTTCATTTTCGGGCCTTGACATCGGATCTGAGGAATTTAACTCCACCTCTCCCTGCCAGAATGGAAAACAACGCCCCTTGCCCGCCTTCGCCTCCTCCCCTTTGCTTTTCCCCCAGTGGCTCACTCCCGTTACAGAAGTTCTGATTTTCTTTCCTCGAGAGCTAGAAGAAAGTCTGGTACCCACAGTGGAGTCAAAGCCTCTGCTCCCGCGTCCCGGTGGGAGAGGAGAGAGAGGAAATCCCACTGGCAGCTGGTTCTGCAGCGGGAGAGGACGAATGGACGGTTGAGAACTTGAGCGGCCTCCAGGGCACCAGGTTTGACTGACCGGCCGAGGGGAAGCGCGGAGGCGGGGCGGGGAGCCGGGGCCCGGGCGCAGACAAAGGCGTTTGGGCTGTGCCTCGGAACGTGGAAGGACTCTTTGGGGGTAACCGACCTTGGCGCTCGGATGGGGGTGCATTTCGTCCGAAGCCTTTCCGGGACCGAAAGAGGACAGGAGATCTGGCATTTGGTGGAGAAGGAGGAGGAGGAGGACGGCTCCTCGGGAGCGAAGGAGGCCGGGGGGCGGAGACGGGGGTCGCCGGGCTGGAGTTGGGGGGCCTGCGCAGCGGTCACGTGGCTGCCGCCTCGGGTTTGGGGCTGTTCTTCCGGGTTGGAAGCGCCGCGCCGCGGGGCTCGAGCCCGGGTCCGCCAGCACGGCGATCCCGCGGCGCGCAGCGCACGGCGCGCGCCTCCCGGGGCAGGTGAGCGTGGCGGTGCGGGCCTCCGGGGGCGTGCAGCTGCGGCACAGCTGGGGACAGGGGCTCGGGGCTCAGCGCCGACCACCCCGGCCCCCACCGGAGCCGAGACCTGTCAGAGTAGCCGGAGCGCGGGGGGGACCGCAGTGCCCCGGGCCCCGGGAATGCAGGGACGCCTGCAGGGCCCAGTGCTGGGCCGCCCTAGAGGGAATAGCGTGCTTCGGCGGCCCCCCACCCCTGTTTATTGCCTTCCGTTGGGGCAACGCGGGAGGCAGTGGGTGGGTGGGTTCGGGAACGGTGGGCCAGCAGGGCAGGGAACGAGGGAACAGCTGTGCAAGTGCAGACAGTGGAGCTTTAGGGAACCAAGAGTCGTCCGGGGTCACTTGGACCTTCAAAAGGGGGTTGGGGATGAAGGTCAAAGAGAACTTTCCAGATGGTTTGCAGTTGGCTGCCCCGAAACTGAGTTTGAATCTGGAAGGGGTTAAGAGAAGATGTCCAGTATGGGACATTGGAGTGGGAGAAGGTGTTGAGTGCGTGTCCCAGCGGACGCGCAGTGGCTGTGCGAGCTTCCACAGGACTGAGAGAGGGACCCGGACCTGAGGGGTGCGAGGCGTATGGTGGGGGGGGGGGGCAGAGACAGCGGGAGGGGCAGGCTGGTACAGCCTATTCAAACTCCAGAGAAGGAATGACTATTATGCAGCCTGGGCCAATAGGCTTCTAGAGAAGGTTATAAATAGCGGTCTCGTGGCTGCCAGCGGGTGCAAGTTAGTTGCCAAGGGAGGGGCGGCACCAGTGGCAATGGCCGAGGCACCGTGGCTTTGGGCGAGGTCATACTGCCTGGCGGACTAAGCTGGTCGGGGTAGGGTATTGTGTCCTTGCCAGTATTCGCGCTTTTAGAAGCCTGCCTTGTTTACAGTTACCAGGTGTCCTTTATTCGCCCTGGGGTGCAGGGCAGTTCTTTAAGCCCCGTGTTTGTTAGTCAGGAGTCTGGTAGAACAGAGTATTCAGAGGTGTGAGGCTTCACCGCCTATCCCCTCTTCGGATTTAAAGTGCCCCCCCCCCCCACTTTCTCTAGGACATCCCTCTTCTTTGCAATACTGGCTGTCTTATTTAGTCTTAAATTAAAACAGTTTGGACTTTATCAGCAGGTGTGCTCAGCTGCCTGTGTTTGTTTACAGAAATAGTTTGCCACGGGGCTACACGAATATTTGATTTGCAAAGGAAATTTCCTGATGCGTCTTAGAGAACGGATATCCAGCGGATATCTAAGTTTCAGGTTATCTAGTGTGTTAGCGTTTCTGTCTTTCAACAGCACCCTTCCCTCTACCCCCTCTCCCTGCCCCAGTAAAAAAAAGGCCAAAACCAAAACCAGACCCAAGCCACCCTTATTTTCCCTTACTTTTTGCCAAGCCCTGGGTCAGAGGTAGTAGTAACATGTATGGAACAGCTCAGGATACTGTGCTCTTTTAATCCTGACAACCCTAGGAGTTCCATGCTGTTATTATCCTCTGGAGTTGGGGAAGTCACTTGCCAAGGTCACGCAGCTTCCATTCCTGAGCTCACCCTCCCCTTCTCTCCTTGGTGTTCTCCCTTCCTGGGGCTATCCCCCAGGATTTTAAGGATAAAAATCCCCCAAGGATTTTAAGACCCGTTGGGGTAGTAGTTACCCGAATAAGTCATATTGCACAGTATGTGAATGCTATAGCGTATGGGGATATAAAAAGTTGTTTTTTTTTTTTTTTTCTTTCAAGTATCAGCTGTAAACTTCTCCACTCATTGCTTCAAAGCCTTGGAAGCACGTGGATAAGCAAGCAAAGTGGTTTTTAAATAGAAATAGGAGCAAGCGTGCCAGTTGACACCGAGCACTATACTTGATGTAAATATGTACTGGCAATTGGTAGAGCAAATTGTCGATTGGTCGTGCGGGGCCGTTGGTGTTTGGTTTAGGCTTAGTGATGTGGGCTACTCTTGCCAGTACACTGTCTCCTGATGTATGCCCCATGCCTTCATACCTTAATACTTTAATCTAATACCGTCATACTTTAATAAAATAGAACTTTTTTTTTTTTAAAAGAAATTGACTTCGGAAGGTCTTGGTCCTTCTGATGGTGAATGCCCCATTCAGGGATCTGCTTAGTAATCAAACTATTATTTTCCATGGAAGCGGGACAAAATCCCTAAAACTGGAGACCATAGGGTGGGCTGCAGCTCCTGTGCGCAGCTTCCTGTTGATGCATGTTCTGGCAGGCAGCAGCAATGGCTGAAGCGGTTGGATTCCTGTTACTCAGGCGGGAGACCTGGACTGAATTCCTGTCTCCTCGTTTCAGCCCGGCCCAATGTTGCTTTTGTGGGCGATTTGGAGGAGAACTGGCTGGTGGGAGCTCTCTCCTTCTCCCTTCCTCTCTTTTCTCCAAAAATAAATTAAAAATCATATTTAAAAAGACCAATATTCCAGCTTGGAAGCATCGCAGAATCCCATCAAATAAGATTTCTAGAGACCGAAAAGGATGCCAGCAACCTGCTTTCCTATTGCTGATAGATGAGCAGACTGGAACTCGGGGAAGCTCGGGTCAGTGTGCGAGTGGCAGGCTTGGACAGTGCGGGGCTGTGTGACAGAGCTGTGCTCATTGGCTGCTGAGGTCTGGCAGGGCTTCGTGATCATGTGAGAAGGGTGGTTGCTGGGTAGCTAGGACGTCCAAGAAGAGAAACATGGGGAGGCTGGGAAGGGAGTAGGTAATTTAGGAAGGTAGAAGTATCTCCCTGAAGGCAGCAGTTATCCTGTAGGGGATCTGTGTATCTCCCTCGGTTTTTGACATAGACTCGGCAAATGTGTTGAGCCTGTGGCTGGATGTTGAACGAACTAACTTGCTCTCCTCCATTGTCAGTCATGAGTAACCCTAGCTGTGATCCATGAATGAATGAGAAGGATATTTTTGAGACTTGGAAATGCTTCAGGAATGAAACGAAAAGACGTAGGCGTGTGTTGAAAACACTTTGTGAATGTAAAAGTGTCTAAACAAATGCAGGGAATTCATCTACACATTTTTAGTTACCTGCTTGGACACATCTTTCATTCCTGCTCTCCTCCCCCAGCATTTTATTCCTTCCATCTTGCCTCTTGCTTGCTTCCCTGAGCCTCCTGAAAGCACGTGATCTTCTTTGTTCCCTGGATGAACTCTGATCTTGTGTTACTGGGCTTTTACTTATTGACTTTTCTTATCTCCAGTTGTGTAGCCCATCCCAGCCTGATTTGATGTGGGCTGCTTAAAGGCAGTCCCTCTGTCTGAGACGCCGTCTTCACTGTTTACTGAATTAAAGTGCATCTCCTAAATAAAGTTTGTCTGGATTGAGAATTTCTGTAACTAATGTTGTTTTCTGGTGTATTTTTTTAAAAAAAGTTTATTTTTCTTTTCATTGGAAAGTCAGATATACAGAGAGAAGGAGAGACAGAGAGAAGATCTTCCATTCACTGATTCACTCTCCAAGTGGCCACAACAGCCAGAGCTAAGCTGAGCCAAACCCAGGAGCCAGGAATTTCTCCCAGCTCTCCCACGTGGGTGCAGGGTCCCAAGGCTTTGGGCCATGTTTGACTGCTTTCCCAGGCCACAAGCAGAGAGCTGGATGGGAAGTGGGGCTGCCGGAATTAGGACTGGTGCCCATATGGGATCCCGGTGAATTCAATGCGAGGACTTTAGCTGCTGGGCCACCATGCCAGGCCCATCCTGGTATATATTTTTTAAAAGATTTATTTATTTGAGGGCAGAAAGAGAGAGAAGGGGAGACACAGAGAGATCTTGATTCTACTGGTTCATTACCAGATGGCCACAATTGCCTGGGCTGGGCCAGGTGGAAGCCTGGAACCAAGAGCTTCATCTGGGTCTCCCACATGATTGATGGGGGCCCAGGACCATCTTGCTCTGCTTTTCCCGGCCAATTAACAGAGAGTCCAATGGGAACTGGAATAGCTGAGACACAAACCAGTGCCCGTATGAGATGCAGATGGCAGCATTACATGCTATGCCACAATGCAAGTCTTGTGGCAGCAGCTCTGAGATTAAATATAAACCAAGCCTCTCTTCCTCTGGATTTGAGAAGTGTGTTTATAAAATCTGGGACCAGCAGGACACAGCCCCGAATGCATCCCTGTGTTGAGTAAAGTTTTAAAGGCAGAGTTCATGGCTTCAGCCAAGCTTGACTGACAGAGACTCAGCATTTTTCCATTCTTGAAGGGAAGAGGAGAACATTTTGAATCTTGGGATAGTGGGGGATCCCTTCAGTGAGTCCCTGGACATCTACCTGGGAAGGCAATGGAGGGAGTCACTAAAACCCCAGTACCGACAGGGGTCAGTGCCACCTCCCTTAGTCCAGCTGGAGTTGACCAAGTGGTCTGGTATGAGAAGCACTCACCGAAGATTTCATATTTGGCTCCTACATCTGCAGGTGCAAGCCTGTGTGATCAAGACATCATGGAATTCTTTCTTTTCTATCCTTGAAATTACTTCTTTTTTTTTTTTTTAAAGATTTATTTATTTTTATCAGAAAGGCAGATATACAGAGAGGAGAGTCAGAGAGGAAGATCTTCCGTCAGATGATTCACTCCCCAAGTTACTGCAATGGCTGGAGCTGAGCCAATTCAAAACCAGGAGCCATGAGCTTTTCTGGGTCTCCCATGCGGGTGCAGGATCCCAAGACTTTGGGCTATCCCTGACTGCTTTCCCAGGCCACAGGCAGGGAGCTGGATGGGAAGCAGGGCTGTCGGAATTAGAACCGGTGCCCATATGGGATCCTGGCATGTTCAAGGCGAGAACTTTAGCTGCTAGGCTATCACGCCAGACGTGGAATTATTTCTTATTCATGTATCATTTTCTTGAGAAATATCTGTGGCAACCATGGCTCTTGGGCTTCTTAAGCTTAGTCCCAGAGAGCCTCACAGGAAGGGTATTCTAGCAGGCATTTCCTGTGTAACCTGGGAAAATGGAAAGTTGTACTGTATTGCACAGCATTATTGATACTTAAAGAGAAATTCAAAGGTAACTTGACTTGTAATTTTTTTCTAAACGGCTGACTCAGAAGATAACTTTTATTGCACCGTGTGATGATGTTCTATGGTTATATGTGATTCTTTCCAAACTTTTCATCCACATTAGGGATCAGACAGATTTAGGTGACCAAGAGCTTGAGATTACATAATGAGTTTATAACTCCTATTTTGGCAGGGAAATACCTGAATTGGAAACAAACTTAAGAGATTGCCTCTGCAGGTACTTGAGAAATTCTTTGCATATGCCCACATACTGCTATGTGGTAACTGCTATGCTCTCATGACTAGTAATTTTCATATTTCTTGATGTTCCAATGATACTGTTTTCTGAGTATATAAACACATTTTTTCCCCCTCCTTTCAGTGGTTTATCTCCAGGGAAATTGAGGAACCAGTAGTTGGGAGCTCGTCTCGGCATGGCGAACCTGTTGAAAACAGTGGTGACCGGCTGTTCGTGTCCCTTCCTGGGCAGTTTGGGGTCCTGCAAAGTTCTACCCGGGAAGAAGGATTTTTTACGACCATTTCATACTCACCAGGCACTGTGGTGTAAAGCTCCTGCTAAGCAAGGTAAGGCAGCACTTCAGCGTTTGTAAGTCAAACCCTCAAAGTCACGGGAGCTAAGAGAGGAATCGCCTGATGATTGGTGAGCAGAAAACCGTGCAGTTTTGGAACCTGGTGCTACTGAGTGATCAGTGTAGATAGAAGAACAGTGAATGGAGTTTTATATTTTCCATGTAGAGAGAGGTTCCTGATCGTCAGTGCTAACAGAGGAGAAAAGATGATGGAACCAGCAGAGTTGTACCCAGGTACACTCATTGCTCGTAGTGACCTTGTTCCATAGCAGCCCTTGCAACTAGATAGTGTTAGGAATTTTGCCATATGTGGCTCATTTGTGCTCAGGAAGTAAGTGCATTAACTGAGCTGCTTTGGTACTTTCCAGTTTAATAAGTGATGAAATTGTCACAGTTGCTCAAGTCAGAAACCTTGGCATCATCAAGCATCCTCTATCTCATACCCGTCTGTCCTTTCTTCGTCGTTCCTTTTGTCGTTTTGGTTCATGCCGTCACCGTCTGTCACATGGATCAATACACAGTCACCCAAACAGTCTCTGTGCTTCCAACTTCTGTCTGCTCCCTCAATGCTGCACACACGAGACAGTTTTTAAAATACAAGGTCATTGGGGCTGGCATGTAGTTCAACTGGCTAGTCCTTCACCTGCAAGCACTGGCATTCTATATGGGTGCTGGTTCATGTCCCAGTCACTCCACTTCCCACCTAGCTCCCTCCTTGTGGCCTGGGAAAACAGTGGAGGATGGCTTTAAGTCCTTGGGCCCTGCACCCATGTGGGAGACCCAGAGGAAGCTCCTGGCTCCTGGCTTCAGATCAGCCCAGCTCTGGGCGCTGTGGCCGTTTGCGGAGTGAACCAGTGGGTGGAAGTTCTTTGTCTTTGCTTTTCTGTAAAATATCTGCCTTTCCAATAAAAATAAATCTTTTTTGAAAAAGAAAGAAAACAAAAAGAGAGAAAGAAATACACAAATAAAACATTTAAAAAAAAAAACAAGATCATGTCACTCTTCAAATTCAGGACTGCCTTCTCAGTTGATACAGAGAAAGGGCTCGAGTCTTCTGTGTGTGTGAAGACCTGGGGCCTGGCATGGTCTCTGATTGCTTCTGTCCTGGGCCGGAAGGAGGAGGACAGTGAAAGAGAGCCCAGCGAAGTGTGAAGCCACACACTGAGTGTCCCAAGAACAATCCCCACCCTCTGTCTGCCCTTTTGTGGCCAGCACTCAGACATGTGGCCATTTGTAGCTGTAACAGAGATTCAGACATTTAGTCTTTTATTCCTGAAACGTATCCAATCAGAAATGGCATTCTGTCACTAAGGCGGAGAAAATGAATGGACCTTTGGTGAGCAGTCTTCGCCACAGAGAATAATGCCCTTTGTTTTTAAAGTTTGTAGTACCGTCTGTCTGGGCGTCTGGTCATTCACCGAAGTTTGTAGTACTCTTTGTCTATTCATCCTCAAATGCTGGGCGCTTTGAATTCTCATGTCTGCCTTGAGTACATTGTGTAGGCTTTGTTGTTGTTGCTTTAAGGAAAATTTGGAGAGGCTGTTGCTTTGCCTGCCATGTGCTTTTCCTGCCGGAGTTGAATGAAGCTTTAAAAAAAATACTTAGATTTTGAACGTCAAGATACACATGGATTTCAACATCTTTGAATATGTTTTATTGCATTGCTATTAATTAGTATTCTCTTGATGCTCAGGTTATCTCACTTGGTCAGTGGAAGACCCTTTGTTTTTGACATGACTTCAGTCATCTTCTTTGGTCCCTTATTTAATTTTTGGCTGAAAAATAATCCTGCATTGTCAGATAAATGAACTTCAAGTAAATGTATATTTTGTAAATATTGCACATCAATCCCAGTTTTTGCTGGCTTTTTATTATTTTTCTATAAGTTATAGATTTACTTTTATTGGAAAGGTAGATTTACTGAGAGAATGAGAGCCAGAGGAAAATCTTCCACCCACTGTTTCACTCGGCAAATGGCCGCAATGGCTGGAACTTAGCAGATCTAAAGCCAGGAGCCAGGAGCTTCTTTTGCGTCTTCCACATGGTACATGGATCTGAGGCCCTGGGTCAACCTCTGCTGGTTTCCCAGGCCACATGCAGGAAGCTGGATGGGCCCAATTTGACTCTTCTTACAATTATATCCATAGTACAGTTTAGATAGCAAGAATAATCAACATCCTAAACTTTATTAAAACTTATATAGAAACAGCTGTTTACACAAAAATGTGTTTAAACCCACATATTAAGTAAGTAAAACATCAGGAGAAATCAATGTTATTTTGCTACATCGTATGGATTCTTTTGGGTTGCAGGGCACAGAATGTTACATTTTGTGATATTATATAGATTTTAGGGGTGGCATGCAAAACCTAGAGACCTGCCATCCGGTGCTTGAGTAGTGGAACATCATATTGGCTTTTGTAGTAAGAAGCCTGTTCTCTCTGTACATGTCCAGCACTGATGTGTCTCCATCATGCACATCATTACTAGTAATTTTCATGCCATTTTACGCTTTTTGCCTTCTCTATGAATCTGCCATTCAAAGTCTTTGAGAGTGAACCTGATTAATCTGAGTAATCACTGGCTAATATAGAGTCTTGGCACAGCATTCCTGGTAGGTCGTCTTACAGGTGTGGCTTTCTGGTTTTCCACATGTCTGCCCCATAGATGTTATCTTCCACCCTGTTGCTCACCACTTGTTTCATCAATCATGGCTGAAGTATACGCTATCAAAGATACAGCATCTGGAAATCCATGAGGAATTGGCTTTGGCCAAATTGCTACGGTGGGGACTTTGGATGGGGCAGATCATCAGTGTTTCCAAGTACGGAATTGTTCCTCAAAACAGTGAATTAGGAGCAGGTGTGGTGACATAGCAGGTCAAGCTGCCACCTGGCACACCTCTGTCCCATATCTGAATGCTTCTGCTTCTGATTCAGGTTCCGTGAAAGGCTGGAAGGTGCTGGCCCAAGTCCCGGGGTTGCTGCAGTCCAAGTGGGACATCGAATTGGACTGGCTAGTGTCCTTTATTGTGACTGTTTGGCAAGCGAATCGGGGGCTGGAGGATTTCTTGATCTCTCTTTCCATCAGCATTTCTCTGTTTTCAATAAATAAATAATAATACAATACAAAACAAACAAACAAAAAAATGCATTGCTTGTCCTTGTTAAAGAGACCATAACCTGAGACAGTTAGTTTCCAAGAGGGGAGTTCGCATTTTGAGTGATCTCCCAAACTTCCAGTTGTTCTCCTAAGACTAAACTAAGCTTGCCTTGTGCCTTGAAGGGAGCCATTTGATTAAGAAGGATGGGAGTTTAAGGAGAGGTGGGAAGAAAAGTTTTTCATCATCTGTTCCAAAAAAGATGAAAGAATTATGATTATGATGCAGACACATCAGTTTGAACAGCAACCTGTGTCTGTAATGTATTTCGAAGAAGAGAATACACATTTCTACTTTCTAGAATCTGGTTATTGAGCACTTTGTTACTATTTTTACCAATGCCTTTTTGCCTTTCTTTTTTTGTTTGTAGGAATTCCATATAAGCAGCTGACTGTTGGAGTCCCCAAGGAGATCTTCCAGAATGAGAAGCGGGTGGCATTGTCTCCTGCCGGTGTGCAAGCCTTGGTTAAACAGGGATTTAATGTTGTGGTAGAATCTGGTGCAGGGGAAGCGTCCAAGTTCTCTGATGACCACTACAGAGCAGCAGGTGCACAAATCCAAGGAACAAAGGAAGTGCTGGCCTCTGATTTGGTGGTCAAAGTAATTATTGCTTTTTCCTTTCCCACTTACACTTATAGCACACTGACTTTCTGAAATTACTTTCTCTGTTGTGGTTGTTGTAGACCTCTGTTTCTCTCCCTTCCTTCCTATGATAATCATACATACATACATATGCATATAGACATGGACGTGATATAAAGTAATTATATATACTCAAAAGCTGCAGCGTGATATTTTAACACACACACAGAATGTTTAATGATGAAATCAGTGTGCTTAGCATGTCTGTCGTCTCAAACACTTATCGCTTCAGCTTTTCCCGTTTGTAAACAATGTCCTTTTCTTGAAGTATTTCTGTGTGTTGCCATTGGGGGATATTGCTCATGTTTCCCAATAACTTTTGTCTGGCTGTGTGGTCCATGTTTAAAACCATGAGTAGAGAAAAGATGATCTTTATATCTGCTGTGTGAAAAATTCTCTTGTAGTTAGGGAAAGTTTTCAGGATATGGTCCAAACATGCCCAGAATTCCCACAGGTGAGTATGTACTATTAGAATGGCAAGATGTGGGCCTTAGCCTGAGTCTGCATGTACGGTGATCTGACACCTGAAGGCACAGTGGGTGACACGGACCTAAGTGCTGACTCCAAGAGGGTGAGACTACCCTGAGGAAGGCAGCATGGGACTGAGTGGCATGCAGCCTTAGGATAACGCATAGATGAAATCCGACTGCTGAAGGACTCTGGAGTTAACGCTGGAAGTCAAACTTCACATAGAGAGTGGGGGAGAGACTATACATAAAGAATCCAGCACAGATGATAACTGAAGTTGAGTACTAGATCCTAATCCTTCTTGAAGCTAAGGAGATAGAGACTTAGGGATTGCATAAACACGATTATTAGATCAGGATAAGCTCACCTTTTCATCAAAGACAGTTTTTTTTCCCCCTATGTTTCTCAGGGAATTAATCACATAGTTGTGTGATTGTGTCTTGGTAGTGTCTGGTGAATCATTTGATAGACTCTTTATCCTATTATTTCAAAAAATAAAACATTTTATTTTTCATGCTCTTTACATATTGAGAAGGATGTATGCCCATGTGGACCAAGAATGAGAAAGGTTGAGGTGTCAGGGAAAGTGGATGAGACAATTGCTTCCATTTTTTTTTTTTCTTCTTGAATCTGAGGGAAGGTAGAAGAGAAGGGGTGAGGACCACTCCCAGCCGCTTAACCAGGGATGGAGGCCTGCCACTCATCCTAGGGTCCCCGATGTGGAGCATGTTTCGAGGTTACTGCTTAAGTGGTTCTGATAGTTCTGTTGATTTCATTGCTCCAAGGTTGAGGAAATCCTTCCAAAGTCCATTGATTGACCCAAAGTCCACCTTAAAGACTCCACTCGCCCAGATACTTGCTGTCAAAGCTTGAAAGGAAGAGTTGTCCAATTTGTTCTGCCCTCTATCCTCTCCCACAGTACTAGACATCCTCAGCAGGCCTCAATGAGCTTGTCAGACTTTTGAATGTTGTTTTTCTGCAGGAGACATAAAGCCATTTTTTGCTTTAGAAAACAAATAGAATTTATGTCATGGAAGTGAATTGTAATCCAGCTAAACTTTTTAAAGTTCTAGACTTACAGATATCTAGTAGTAATAATAGCTTAGTATGAAGTGAAAGTATATTGAGAAAACAAAAAAATAAGGATAACTCATTCCAGTGTGTGTCCAATGTATGTTCCTGGGTTCAAGACTTTTTGAGATGTACCTCAAAAAAGGCTTTATGGGTGCATCTGAAGTTTGAAAATACTGTGGAATTCACAATGTGAGTGAGCATATTAAAATTGTGCTGAAATAGGCAATAATACAAGAATACTTCTAAATGCAGAAAAAATGCAGTTAAAAGTATGAAATCATTTTGCTGCAAAAACTTGTTTCGTAATATATCAAAAATGTGTATAAAACTTATGTATGATTTACAAATGTTTTTGCACAAGGTTGAACTCATACATGTAATTGTTCTTTTTGGAGTTCATTTGTTAATGAACCTTTTACTAGCATTAATAAACATGATATTGGGCTTCCTGCTAGTAACGTGAGGTCATTCAAGGAAACATCCTCTTGGCTGAATTTACTCAAGGACCAGTGGAATTAATTTACAGTTGTCTTCCATTTTTTTTTTCCCACTAAATTTGTTTTATAGATTTTCATGGAGAAAAACTACACCTTGTCAGAGAATCTGCAAGTGTAGAACCTTAGAACCTTAATTCTGAGAATTCATTCTAGAACCTTAAATCAACAACTGCAATGGGAGTAATAGCCCATGATGTCTCCTAAGTATATTGAGGCAGAATTCACAATAGGATATGAATGACCCAGAGATTTTGTTTTTGTTTAAAACATACATCCCGGAGGCTGTGTTTCCCGTGTTTATTTGCCTGAAAGAAATGTTGTGCACTAGTAGCTAGTGAAGCGATATGAAAATTGATTTAAATTTGGGCAAAAATATTTAAAGTACTTTTAAAATGGAGTTTTGCAAATTTGGCTTTGAAGAGTAGGCAATTGAAACTTACAAGCATTTGGTGTATTTATTGATTCATCTGATACAGCATACAACAATGTGTGTTACAACCTTTTGATTAAACGCAGTTCAACAAGAGTGTTGGTTTGAATCGTGCATGTCTTTAAATAGTCACTTGAGATTTTAAAGTGAGAAATCTCTTAACACTGGCAGCTTTATTCTCCAACATTCCATTCCGAAGTTTATGATTGCCAATATTAGCAAAGGTTGAATCTTTAAACATGCAACAAAAATTTCCTGGTCATTTATTGTAACATTCCTTAGCTTTACCTGAGTGATAGGTTTTAGAGGAAAGGTTTGTTGTACATAGTTGCTGCCCATTAACAGGTGTGTGTGCTGTTTACTGAAACCACGCAATAGGTCCTTAGTTTGAGACAGGTGATATGTGCCTGTATATCACCTTGTTACTGAAGTTAATCAGACATCCATTGATGAAATATTTATGTCTGGAATATTATTTTAATAATGACATATTATCCAAAAATGCTTATTTACTTAAAATATACTTAAGGTATGTGTATTTTTTATCTTTGTCTTGGCTTTTGTTCTCAGGTGCGAGCCCCCATGGTTAATCCAACATTAGGTGTTCATGAAGTTGACCTTTTAAAGACATCAGGAACCCTGATTAGTTTTATTTACCCAGCTCAAAACCCAGACTTGCTAAATAAACTTTCCCAGAGAAAAACGACAGTTCTGGCAATGGACCAGGTTCCAAGAGTCACAATCGCTCAGGGATATGACGCGCTCAGCTCCATGGCCAACATTGCTGGGTAGGTTCATTTTTTTTTTTTTTTTTTCCGTTTCCACTGAACAGAAGCACAATGGCAGTACAGAAACATCCACACTGTGGCTCTTCTCTCTTACATTGAGCTTACTTGTAATAATTGCTAGAGATTACAGGCCTTGAGGGGGGGTGCTCTTAAATTATTTTTAAGACTCATTTTATTGTTTCGCAGTGCTTTGGTTGCAAATGAACTATCCTGTTCTCTGATATAAAGCAGTATCCATGCAAAACACAAAACAACTAGATATATAGGTAAACATGTATGTACATATATTCTCATGGATGACATGTGCAGTGGAGACTAGCATACTGCGAAGTGAACATAAGTTACAGTATGTGTCACTACTCCTGAGTAAAAGGAGGACGCCCAATGAGACTGTTACATATAACTTGACAGTAGGGTACTGGATTTTCTACCATTGCTTATACCTGCAATACCAAGAGCACTTAAAGAGAAGAGTGTTCGACTGGTGACTGTTGCTGACGGACTGTTCTATTGTAATACTGTCAGGGAAAATGTTGGGGTTGGGGGAGAGAGAGAGGGAGAAAGAGGAGAGAGAGGGGGAGAAAGAGGAGGTTGAGTGGGGAAACTAGACCTAGAAAGTTGTATCATAGAAAACAATAACAATAAAAAAATCATGAAGTAAACAAAGCCTGAATATTGGCAGTTTCATATGGTTAAGTATAATATGGATTTTTTTTTGCCAGATTTATGATCTTAAATTCATAAAATATGCACTGAATAAGAGAAGGATTTGCACCAGAGAAAGTTCCATTTGATGTCAGACCCTGGACTGATCATTGAAAGCTAGTTGTGTCCTCTAACCTTCAAGGCCCAGATGGTTGGAAGCTTCACTTGCCTGGCAGGCACCAACTCATTCTCTATTTATTGCTTGCAGGGCCATGTAGGGAAGGATTCTTAGGTTCATTGTCCTCAGAGGAACTTGGCCATGATTGAGTAATCATGTCTGTCGTGGATGGGAGAGAGGAGTGACTGTATGAATGTAGTGTCTTACTGACTTTGCCTTGGCATGTAGGAAACATCCAGAATGGATGATACTTACAAAATCAGGCCGTCTAAGAAACTAATTGACTGCAGATTGAACAGGAAAACTATTAGTAGTTGACAAGAGAGATAAATGAAATTTCATTGAGAGAAAATACGAAGCAAAAGTACAAATGCATGAGAAAAAAAAATGACGTGAAGAAACCCTTTTGTAGCCTAATAGAGATAACCTGAAGGTTTGTTTAAATTTTGTATTTTCAATTACGATAGATCAAACATGCTACAGATTTTATTTTCTCTTTCAACTATTTACTTTTGCTACGGATGAGATGCAGTGATCAAAAATGAGCCATTCAAGATAGGTTTTGTTGTCCTTGACGTAGTATGAGAAATGATTTGAAGAGTTTTTTTGTGTGTGCTATAAAAAATATAGCAAGGAACAAAAGTAATTATTTAGTTTGTAGAAGAGTTACATTATGTAATGTGGAACTTGAAAATGTGTATATAATGTGTAAAAAGACGCAGGATCTTAAAGAATGCCATTGGTTCTGTCACGGGGTTGCACATATACAAGAATGTGCTCTGGCCCAGTGGCTTTAGTCGCCCCATCTTTGGAGCGAAGGAAGCAAGATGCGGCAATATAAATGAAGCCAGCACAAGCGGAGTGGCCCTGGTTGCATTCAGCGTGCAAGTTCTGTCTAGACGCATGCTTATCCTGTGTCCCTGCTCCCCTGGCTCGGTTTAGTCTGAAGGCCCAACTCTTTGAGACGCGTGGGACACAACGTGAAGGATCGCTCCCACGTCCTGGGCTGTGGTGTACAAAGGGCATCATGGGAGATGAATCTAACATACGTGCCACGTCATGTGTGCTCAGCTGTTTGGTGTCACAGCCACATTACAGGCAAGAAGGACTTCATTCCTTGTTAGTGTTTGTGCTGAGTTTTTACGTGTTCATCAAGAACAGGCCCCGTCAGCCCCCTTTGCTCATGGTCACTGTTTTCTTAGTTACCTGTGTAATCAGTCGGTTTTCGTGATTTTTTTAGGATACCTACTGACTCTTTGAAAATTCTAATTTCAAAATTAAATTATTTTTGGAGATTTATTTTATTTTTATTGCAAAGTCAGATATACAGAGAGAAGGAGAGATAGAGAGGAAGATCTTCCATCCGATGATTCACTCCTCCAAATGACCGCAACGTCCAGTGCTGCGCTGATCCAAAGCCAGGAGCCAGGAACTTCCTCCAGGTCTCTCACATGGGTGTAGGGTCCCAAGGCTTTGGGCCGTCCTAGACTGCTTTCCCAGGCCACAAGCAGGGAGCTGGATGGGAAGTGGGGCCGCCAGGATTAGAGCCGGTGTCCATTTGGGATCCTGGCATGTGCAAGGCTAGGACTTTAGCTGCTAGGCTACTGCACTGGGCCCTCACCTATATTATTTTGTTTCATCCCCACAACACCCCTGTGAAAGCTTTTTTGGTGTTAACGTTATAGATGAGGAAGCCAAGGTTTAGAGAATCACAGAGATTTTCCCAAGGTTGAGGAACTAGGCTGTGAGCACAGGCCCATTGGTCTTACGTTTCTAATGATTAGAGATCCCAGAGAAATGTGTTTTGTTCACTGCAGTGGGAGACTTAGCATTTTCAAGCATGTGGATAACCTAATTTTTTATTAAACATTTTCCCTCACTGTTGACTATTACATCAAAGACAATTGGGATGCCATAGTGAAGGAAGCAGAATGGAGGATGTGTCATCGCAGCACATCAAGCAAGCTTTTAGCATTTTCCCATCTTTCCTTCATTAGGTGTTCTCGGTGGGTCTTTTACAGTTAGCTGTCGAGACTGGGCAGCGTGCTGGCTAAGACTCTGCCTCCACAGATGGGTCTCTCCCGCAGACTCTCACCTCGGACACTTGCTTGCTGAGTAACCTTTCACAAGTCATTGTTCCGCCTCTCTCCTCTCTGAACTAAAAAAGAAGGGCAGTAGTTGCCTCTTTCTCGGGCTTGTTGTTGTAGAGGTTAAAGGAATAAGCATACAAGTGTATATCCAGGTTAGACCTGTTCTTGCCACAGAGTGTTATATCAATGGTAGTTGTTCTTAGTTTTTGGCAAAGTTTAAATGTTGATTTATAATGACATAAAGGTCTAAGTTTTCATTTTATGGAATTACTTATCTGTTTATTTTTTTAAGTTATAAGGCTGTTGTCCTGGCGGCAAATCATTTTGGACGGTTTTTCACTGGTCAGATCACGGCTGCTGGAAAAGTTCCTCCGGCTAAGGTAGGTACGCTTCTAATGTTTCCTCCTCATGTTGATTAATGAAAGGGAAAAGCATATTAAGCAGATTTCTTTAGAAAGTTCATGGAAAAATAAAATGAAAAACTTGTTGGTGTTCAACATTTTGAAATCGATTCATAATTTTTTTTCATATATTCTTCATGAACTTTTTGAACCTCATGCATGATTTTAAAAATGATTCTTGCAACGAGATGAACTTTTGTTTTTCCACTAACTTTTTGAAGTCTGCTTAGATAGTCTTAAAATATCATTATTAAAAACTTCTATTACAGAGTAGCTTCACACTGATGACTTTTGTGGTACAAATATATGGTTGAGCCTGGAAGCTGAGCATGTCAAGTGATCACAAATTGCAATACCCACATCCCAGTGCATTTTAGCTCCTCTCTTTCCAGTACCTGGGTGATAGCCGATGATGGATCAAGTGCTCAGACACCTGTCACCCTCTTGGGAGACCCGGGCGGAGCTCCTGGCTTCTGGGTTTGGCTTGGGTCAGCCTGGCTGATGTGGGTGTTTGGGAAATGAACTAGTCCATGGAAGGTATGACTCTCCCTCCCTTCCTCCCTTCTTTCCTTTTCTCTTTCAAGTAAATCAGAGCACATACTTTTCAAAGATGCTGGACACTCGCAATTGCTTATAAAAATGAACTTTCATCTTTTTCTTTTTCAACTTTCAGTGTAATTTTCTGTTTTTGACTTATTCGCTGAAATTCTTAAAGGGAATTCAGATAACTTGTTTTGTGTGGCTTGTTTAATACAATTTTTTTTTTTTTAAAATCTAGATATCATTTTTCAAATTCTGGGTTTCTCAATCATTGCAACATTTTGGTTCACAGAGAAGACTATGGTTTCTTCAATCTTTGTCAATTTTTAGGACACAAGAAAAGAACATGGAAGATGGTGTAATCAGGGCAATTTGGTGGTGCAGGAAAAGGTTTTTTTTTTGTTTTTAAATCCAGATTTAGAATCTAGAGAAGTTAACAGTGAGAGGTGGGGATAGCTAGATGGAGGAATAGAAGGTTGCGGTGTAGCTGTTTAAAACTACGGGCGCAGAAGGAGTGTTCAGGCAAGGCGGGACTGACAGGGTTGTCGACGTTCTCTTCCGCCCTTCTGTCGGGTGCAGGCTGACCTGGGGCGGCTCTGTCTTCAGCACTTTGCTGTATAAATCCAGAGTCCTCACGCAGCATAAACCAGGAAAAAAAAGAAAACCAAAACCAAAAAAAAAAAAAAAAAAGCCAAGAGCAGCTCTGAGAAATCCCAGTACATGGAAGCCAGAGCACTTGGTGTGAAAGGCTGAGTACCCAGCACAGGTGCGATATGTGAAGTGATTGCATTTTGACTTCTCCGAAGTTATAAGAAAATGTGTGGCACTTAAGGTAGCAAAATATCTAGTGCTGCTGTTCTTTTTTTGTTTGTTTTTTAAAGATTTGTTTATTCTTTTTATTGGAAAGTCAGATACACAGAAAGGAGATACAGAGAGGAAGATCTTCCATCCACTGATTCACTCCCCAATGGCCACGATGACCAGAGCTGAGCTGACCCGAAGCCAGGAGACTGGAACTCCCTCCAGGTCTCCCACATGGGCACAGGCTTTGGGCCAGCCTCGACTGCTTTCCCAGGCCATCAGCAGGGAGCTGGATGGGGAGCGGGGCAGCCGAGACAGGAGTGTGCCTTGCAAAGGTGAAAGTGATTATCTTCAATGAAATTCCAGTTGTGGCTCAAGGTCTTTGATTACATGCTGGATGTAATTTTTTGAAACTGAGAATTTGACATTATGTGGTGAGCTTGCATGCTGTTTTATTTGAGTTCCCTTTAAACATGGAGGTTTACACTTCTCTAGAATGGATTAAAATCAGTCAGCTGAAGCTTTATAGATGACCTCAACAAGATAGACAGCCATCCCTGCTGTGTAAAATGTATATTCCTGCAGGGGTCACAGTGAGTAGCCAAAAAAAGCAAACAAAAAAACAAAAAAACCACACACACACACATTCACACAAAATAAATAAACAAGAAACCTTAAAACAAACAAATAGGAGATAATTTTAGCTATAAAAAAATATAGATGATGTGAGGGTTGAGTGATCAGGACAAGCCAATTAAGTTAGGTGCATGTGGAAGACTCTTAGGACATTTGAACGGAGACCTGGAGGGAGAGAAGCCGGGTGTGCAGGGCTCCAGGCACAACGGAAAGCATGTCTGAGGGCTCTGAGATGGGCAGGCCTTTAGTGTGCTCTGAAAGCAGTCAGGGACGCCCTTGGCCTTGAAACATAGTGGACAAGGTGGAGGGTGAGCCAATATGATATCTGGTTGAATCACAGGGACCCTTCTTATCATTTGTTATTGCAGATAAGGGAAGCGCCCCATTTTGTAATTTTTTAAAAAAATCATCAGGTTATTTTGTGGGCACTTGAACAGAACAGTGAAGGCAAGATCTGTGGGGGACAGGTTGTAGCTGGGAAGCTGCTGTCCCTGGAACACACACAGTACAGTGTGTTAAGACACCACTTGGGATGCCGGCATACCGTGTCAGAGTGCTAACAGGAGTTCTGGCTTTTGTGCTTCCAATCCAGCTTCCTGCTGATGCTCCAGGAGGAACAGTAAAGATGTGGCCAAGTCCTTGGGACACTGTCACCCATGTGGGAGACGCAGATGGAGTTCCAGGCTTTTGACTTTGGCCTAGTCTAGCCCTAGCTATTGTGAGCACTTCGGCAGTAAGCCAGTGTGTAGAGCTCTTTCTTCATCTCTCCTCTCCCCAGTCTCTCTGTCTTTCAAGTAAATATACAAATCTTAAAAAAATAAATTATGGGGAGCCTGGCACAATGGCTCAGTGGGTAAATCCTTGCCTTGCACACACTGGGATCCCATATTGGTGCTGGTTTGTGTCTCAGCTGCTCCCCTTCCCATCGAGCTCCCTGCTGGTGGCCTGGGAAAGCAGTCAAGGTTGGCCCAAAGCTTTGGCATCATGCACCCATGTGGGAGACCCAGAAGAGGCTCCTGGCTCCTGGTTTCAGATCGGCTCAGCTCCAACCATTGAGGCTACCTGGGGAGTGAACCAGCAGGTGGAAGATCTTTCTGTCTGTCCTTCTCTCTGTAGATTTGCCTTTCCAACAAAATAAATCTATCTTAAAAAAATTGTGGGGTATTTAGTGAATATGGGAAACCCTTAGCGTTTGGAGAGAAATGACACATGGATGACATCTGTTGTAAAACTAGACGGGAAATCCATGTGAGGGTGGGGAGTGAGAGGGACCTCGGGGAAGGGGATGGGCAACCCCAGAGCCTGTGGAACTATGTGATAAACCAGAATAGAACATGTTTTAAGAAAAAGTCACGTGGCATTTCGTAAAAAACTAGCTTTTCTACAGTGGGGGAGAGTGTGTTCATCTTTAACTCGTGTCACACTAATTGTGCCTTTATCCTGTTTCCACTGGTACACAACAGGCTCCAGTGGACAGGCTATTTTTATGGAAGATTGTTGGCTTTTGCCAGCAGTTGTCCCTTGGGTAAATTTTTAAAGAGTGATTGGCTAAGGAAGAGTTTGTCTGTTCTTGACGTGTGTTGGGAGCCGATCTCCGCCTCCACCATAGCGCTGCCGTGTGTTGAAGGCCCACAGGGCACACCTCTAACTGTTGATTTTTCCTATAGCCAGTTGATAACGAGCTTTATTCCAGACATGACCGGTTCTGCCTTCTTTTGCCAGATTCTCATTGTTGGTGGTGGTGTTGCTGGGCTTGCTTCTGCAGGTGCAGCGAAATCCATGGGTGCGATTGTTCGCGGCTTCGACACTAGGTAAGAACTCCGTCAGCTGTGGGAGGAAGACATCTTGCTTCAAACGTGATATTTTACACTGGCCTTCGGATGTATAAATGGAAATAGCACGTCGAAAAGGATCTATAAGCCCTTTCCTTTAAAAAAATTACTGCTTTGAAAAAATAAAGTGAAAATGAATTTCTTACTGGAAAAAGAAAAAAATATGGGGGGACCTACCTAGCCTTAGTATAGCATTTTAAATAATGATAGTAATAGTTAAAAACATTAAAGACTCACAGCTCACGGTTCTGTTTGCCTGCATGGAGTGGCCACAGCACCAGTTGTCTCTGTCTTGGGAACCTAACACGAGGACCCTAGCTGCTAGGCTAATGCGCCGGGCCCAAGGGAATATAATTTTCATTTCATCCTTTTTTGTTTTCTTATTAATTGTAGACATTTCTGAAAAAATTTGAAGAGAGTTGTATCCCTGTGGTTACATGAAATGGGAAATACCAACTCAAATCAGCTCAAACCACAAGGAACTGTATTGTTGCCTCTTACTGAAAATCTGCAGGGAAGGGCCCCCTTTCTCATTAGAGTCAGCAACACATTGGTGTTGCCAAGGACAGGATCTTTCTGTCTGTCCTGTCTGCCATCCCAGCTTTGGCTTCCTCCTGAAGCACAGAACACCCGTGATTGCCACTTGACTTCCAGAAGCAACCTGAGCTACCAGACTGTTGGAGGCAGCAGCGAGAACATCTTGTTCAACAATGGACTGTGCGTGCACTCAGTAGGATGGTCCTTAGGGAGCTGTTGGCTTTGACTTCTGTTTCCAAAAATGACTGGTAGCTCTTGCTAAAAATGCAGCTGCTGGAGATTAGAATTCAGAGGGTCTGAGGAGGGGCCTGCAGGCTTGACTGTTTAGGTTGTTATTAGGGCAGTTTAGAACTTACCATAGAGGAATGGATATTATTGCATTTAAACAACAGCATCACCAAGCTGAGGTTTTTGTTGATTGGGTATTCCAACCAGGATAGAGTGACTAGGTAACATTTTTATAGTTTTAAAAACTGAGCTTATCATTACGTAATTTGAATTTGCTAGCATTTTACATTTAATCATTTACTGTCATTTATTGGTCGCTTCTTCATCAACATAGTTTAGTGAGATGGGAGCAAGATTGCTTTACTAAAATGTTTCCAAGAGAGACATTTATGTGGGAAAAGTCCTCAATGAAAACTTCAAGTGGAGTGATTTGAATTCTATCAGAGGTGACGCGTCATCATCCACCCTGGAGCCACAGGAAATGTGGTCCATTGCTGGATGGTGCAGCTCCCTTAGCAATTAAAGACAAAGTTGAAATTTCCTATCGTTTTCCTTTCTCATAAAAATATTATCATAAAATTGTTACCTGCCTTTAGAAAAAAACAGTCATCTAGTGAGAAAATTGAAACTTTTTTTTAAAATAACACTTTTTATTTTCAGTTTGACAGCAACTGCATCTTATTTATTTGAGGGGTAGAGATAGAATTCTCTGGTTCATGCCCTGAATGCCCTAACCGGGGCACATCTGGATTGAGCGAGACGGAGTGCCGTAACTCAGTCTAGGCCTGTCACGTGGGTGGCACTGGTGGCACCTGTCACGTGGGCACACACTGGAGCCGTTACCTGCTGCTTCTTGGGGTGTGCGAGCGAGGAAGCAGGAAGCAAGAATGGGGCTGAGAGCGAAGCGCAGGCATTCTGGTAGGAGCTGCAAGGATCCTCACGGTTGCTGGGCCGAAATGCCTAGCCCTCCCTTCACTCCCAAACACATTGAATTGTTTTTCTTAACAATGTGAGTGAAAACGATGGTCTTGATTTCTGTATGACAGGATTCATAGAACCACATTTTCTTTCCCACCCCCCCTTCACTAATCACCCTTAGAGCTGCGGCCCTGGAACAGTTCAAGTCTCTTGGGGCTGAGCCCCTGGAGGTGGACCTGAAGGAGTCTGGCGAGGGCCAGGGAGGATATGCGAAAGAAATGTCCAAAGAGTTCATCGAGGCGGAGATGAAGCTGTTTGCTGAGCAGTGCAAGGAGGTGGACATCCTCATTAGCACGGCGCTGATCCCAGGTAAGCTCTGACGTGCTCGCCCAGCTGGAAGCACCGCGCCCGTGGCGTTCTCAACGTCAAGGTGAACAATTATTCAATATGCTGTTTTCTTCAAAAAAAAAAAAAAAAGACTAGTTTTCTACTATAAAAGTTCTAGGCAAAGCAAAAAGATGTCACAAGAATCACTGCCATTTCCAGAGATGGCGCTCCTTGACTACCTGCTGCGTTTGCCTTCGGTTTTTTTTTTCCCCTCCTGGGGATTTTCACAAACTATAGAAATGATCCCTGAAAGTATAATTTTTTTCTGTGTATTTTGCATTTTGCTATAATTATTATTTTTTTAAAGATACACTTATTTTGTTTATCGGAAAGTCAGATTTACAGAGGAAATGGCATGCTCTTTCCTGTATCCTCTGATTACACAGGTGAAAGGTGAGCCGGCCTTTGCAGACACTCCCGTCCTACCAGAGTGGGTGAGATGAGGCGGAGAAGCAGGGCCATTACCACCGCTAAATCTGTGGGAGCATCTGTGAGTGCAGAAGCGAGGCCCCTGGTGTGCAGGGGGCAGCAGGTCAAGGGGCTTAGCTTGGTAGTTGTGAAATGTGTCAGTGGGTACAGAACTCAGCCTCAAGCCGTCACAGGAGGGTATTTTGGGATACGTCCTCTCCTGTGGCGGTGGCTCCCGGCTCAGCTGCTCCCAGGTGGCTCTGAAGGTGTGGAGAGATGTGTATTTGGCTGACCTTTGCAAGACAGGCAGCTGCCTGGGCCGGGTCATGTGTGAGCTGAGGAGATGCAGCAAGTGGCCAGCAGAGGGAGGCACAACATTTACTCCTGCGGTAAATGATACTGCGTACTCTTAATAAAGAACTGAGGATAGATTGGACATAGTGGATCTGTTGCTGATTATAAAGGCAGAAGTGATAACTCAAGCCTTGTTACTGCCTTTTAGGGTGTGCCTTTCACCCAGTGATAGCTTAATGTTTCTAAGTAGTTTCAAGTTGGTGTACTTTAATAAAGGGTCAAGTTGTGGTATAGTTTTGAAGACTGCTTGATGAGATTTTATTTATACATTTAAAATTAAAATTATATTTAAAATGAAATCAACCTCTCCTACTTTCGGGAACCACGAACTTTACATTAATCTTGCACAAAGCCCTGGGTCAGTACAGACCTTGAGCCATCCAATTCTGCCTTCCCAGGTCCAAAAATGAACAGAAAACTGGGTTAAAAATAGAATAGGCAGGACTAGAACCAAGCGCTCTGATTGGCCCACAGTTTGGTCTTTAAAAAAAAAAACTTTCTGAGAAGGGACTTATTTTTTTTTTCTGAAAACCAAAAGAGAAAAAGAAACAAAAGAGAAAATGTTATTAGGGTATTATAAGGAAAATGAAACATCACAGGAAGTTAAAGTTGCTTTTTGGGAAATAGGGTCGTAGGCATTAGACTTCTGGTTTACACTCCGAGCCTCTGCCTGCATCCGAGGGTACATTCACCTCCGGTCAAGCTCTCAGGGAAGAAGTTGCTCTCAAGTTTTCCGTGAATAGATTCCAGGGGACTAAGTCATCAGAAATTCTTGAAGCTGAGAGCCCATGGACGCACAGGAAGCTGGGTGAGGACTTGGCACAAATCAGAGTGGTCACGTAGCTCATCTCAAGTAGCCACCTCAGAGAGATGGCAGATTTTCATTGCACCCACGTCTACCTCAACCCTGGACTGAGCGGAAGCCAGGAGCTTGGAATTCAGTCTGGGCCTCCCAAATGGATGACAGAATGCCAAGTACTTGAGCAGTTACCTGCTGTTTCCCAGTGTGCACCTGTGCAGAAATCTGGAATCAGAAGCAGGTTCCAGATGCTCCAATATAGGGGCAGGTGTCCCAAGTGGTGTCTCAACTGCTAGGCCAAATACCTGCCCCTCATTCAAGTTCTCTACAAACTCTTGAAGGTCCTGAGAATGTCGATTACGTGTAGAATGAAGCAGTTCTGTAATTAGCCAGTTTTTGTGCTGCTTGATGCCTTATGCCCTCATACGGACCCCTGCCAGACAGGGTTATGAATTAAACATGGGACTGTCACTTGGTAAAGATACAGCAGGAAAGAGCTGATGGGCCCATTGTGTGACACTCTGAACTTCAGGAAAAGCTCTCCGATTTCCCATCCAGCTCTTTGCTCTTTAGCTCCGCCGTTAAAAATAAGTTAGCTTTGAACACTGGTCACGTTCAGGCTGTGTTCCTAATATTTTCAGCTAAAATATCTTGTAACACGAGGCATTTTTCAGCCTGGAGTATTTTTAGAGAGACTTTTGCTATAGGCTTTAAATATTTAGTTAGCAGTGGGCTGAATTGGGTTGGAAATGCATTCTGTAAGTGAGAGAGGAAGGGAAGAATGCTAATGATTTTGCACTGAGTGTATGTTGGACAAGTTTTGCCTAAATCCCCCTGAGAATTAAGGGTGCTGTGGGGTAGATTGTAAATTCGCCTTTGTTCGAACTGCATTGCAGGTCGTTCCTGATGGCTACTTAGTTAAAAGTCATGCGCTCCATGTGCTGCTATAGATTCCCTGCCCATCCCCTCCCCATCTTACAGCTCGTCCTTAGTAATAGAATTGTGATTATGGCAAGGCCTGCCAGTCGAGTTCCCAGCATCATCAGGCAGAGGCATCCACAATGGATTACAGCTTCCTGTCCCCCCAGTACCAGAGCTATGGAGTTTGTACTGTTCAGTAAGGTATTTATATTGCTTCTGATCTAGCATGCGGGTCTCATGTTAAACTAATGTCTCTTTCCTGGAGCCCGATTTCAGGCAGGCTGGCTGCTGTTACCTCTGCAGAAGCCCAGATACTTCCATGCCTTTGCACATATTGTTTCTCTTTGCAATGTTATCCCTGCCCTTTTAATCCAGTTCAAGCCAGTTGCTACTTCCTGCGTACATTTACTGCCTCCTACCCCAGCAGCATTCTTTTTTTTTTTTTTCCTGCACTTCTAGCATCTTGCTAGGGCTTCCTATTGCAATGCTGTGTCCACTCACCCCTCACATGTTCTGCCTTTCTGCAGTGTGGCAGGCGTGTGCTGGTCATGTTGTGACCCGTGTTGTATGCAACAGTAGGTCCGGAAAAGCTGAACTAAAAAAAAAAATCTGGGCACTTTTCTTGAGTCTTGATTAGCAGAATCTCTTTTATTTCTTCCAGTGCTGCCCAGGGAAAAAGAGGGCACACGCTGGCTTGCTTTCCAACAGGAACATTTCAGAAGCTAATTCGACAGTAGGAACTTAGCTCTGTTCAGTTATTCAGAACAAGGATAAAGGGCCAGTTTGTCATTTGAGCTTTCAGGAGATAGAATTAGTAGTGGCAAGTCTTTGTAGGAGTTAGTGTCTTTCTGGACAGGAAGTAAGTCATTCGTGACTTCATTGTAAATTATAACACCGTAGGACTCATGTAATTGAATCTCAGACACAATGCAGATGAAGGTAGCAGTCCTCTTTTTTAATATTTATTTTACGTTTAATTGTAGCAGTTAAGATCTGTGAAATACACGCCCCCCCCCCCCAAAGGACCCTGGTGGCAATTTTCCATGACCTTTAAGTATTGGGAGGGAGAACTTTTTCTCTGATATTTTCCATACATTAGAGTGAGCCAGAGACATTTTACAGTCTCTTGGAGAAGCAGCATTTGTACTCAACCTGATGCTGCCTGTCTCCTTGATTCTGTCTTGAATACATCTTTGAATCCACTTTTACTACTGGGAGTAATGTACAAAATGATTTTGGGGGCTGATGGTTTGGCATAGCAGACTGAACTGCAGCTTGCAATGTTGCATCCTGTTTCAGAGTGTTGCTCTGAGTCCTGGCTGTCCTTCTGACCTAGCTTAATGCCGGTGTATCTGGAAGAGCAGTGGAAGGTGGCTTCAGTGTTAGGGCCCTGACTGCTGGCCTAGTCTGGCCCCTGCTCCCTCACTGGCTCTTGTAGCAGTTGGACAGTGAATCTGTGAATGGGAGATGTCTTTTTCTCTCTGCTTTTCTCCCTCTCTCTTTTTTTTAAAAAGTCTGTTTTTCAAATACTTAAGTGAACAAATGAATGTTTAAAAAATAAAAAGAATGATTTTTCCACAGTAACTTTCAAACTTATACTTTGAGGCAACAGAATAGTCATTGATGCTCTCCATTTGTGTAATTCTAGAAAGATTGTTTTTCTTCAAATAAGGGCTTGTTTTTCAGATGGTTCTTTTCCTCCTTCTATATGCATTGTGACTTGTTTGGAGATAAAAGTATTTGCTGTAGATGAGCAGTGCCCACTTTTTGGTTATGTAGTAATAGTTTTTACTGTTGGATTCATCAGACACCCTCTTCTTATATGTATTTCCTGACTGTATTGCCTTTTTGAAATGTTACTTCTACAAAGATTCATCTGTTTGGAGAATTTTGAAGGACAGAGAGAAATATTTGCATATTACAACATCAAGGGTTGGTGACCACAGGCTGTCTACATACCTCTTGGTAGCTTTCAACACAGACAAAGCAACTTGTCATCAAGGAGATGGTGCCAACATTGTGGCGTTTTCCATTGCCATTTGTCAGTCTTGATTTCTTAGGGTGTGTTGAAGCACATTTATTGAGTGAGTGGGCCAAAATTGAACAAACACTCTGTTAGGAAAATTTATGGCATGGGGTTCTATTCTGGTTTGGTCTGCTATTTCTCCAAAGTATGTTGCAAGATTGGCAAGCATTTGGGCCTGCCGCCTGACAGCCCCCTGCCTTCCAGAGAGCAGGAAAGCTGAAGCTGGCTCTGGTACGAAAATGCTTCTGGTACCGCCCACTCAGGGGTCTCTGTGGCCCTTTCATTGCATTTCCCTATGTGTTCTTGTGTATTCGTGAGGATGACCAAGCTTTCGCTATATAGCTGTTACTGCAGTAGATCAACCCACAAGTCAGAATGTATAATACATGCTTGTTTTAATTTTTAAAGGACTTTGGTAGCTAGTAAACATCTATACATGGATTGAAGGGCATACAAAATGGTTATGGTTTCCAC